AAAAAAAAAAAAAGAATAACTCTTTACTGGTGGAAAATGGACCTCGTTTCATATTTCCAGCAACTCCTGTCCTGACAGGCACAACTCTGCTGTGCTGGGCCTTTTAGTCAACTTCAGTTGACTAAAGTTTACTCTTTAGCAAACTTTTTTTAGTATTTACGTGTAACAGTGGAGAAGTAGACGTCTCCCCAAATAGGTCACATTTTTTTTTTTAAGAGAAAGAATGGCATCTTAGTTCCCTTTAAACACACAGAGATGTTCAGCTACTCTTTGTTACAACTACTTGTAGTAGCTTATCCTGATTGTAGAGTGATTAATTTTAATGAGCTGCATCATTACCTGAATGTATGTGTGAAACTTTATGGCTTGAGGAAATCAATCCATAATATACTTCCTGCCAGCCCCACCACATTTTGAAGCCAACAATTTCTATTTTTCAACCCTCGTAGGGCAGGTGAAGTTATTCAGGAGTCATCTGTTAACACTCAGATAAATCGGATTGATCGTTATTTAATTCTTGATCTCAGGGAAGATTGTTCTAGGTGGCTAAAAATAAGGACCTTTGTAATTTTGCGGATACTGATTGGTGTGAGCAGGAAGGAGGCTTAGGAAAACACTAAGACTCCCGAGCACTAAACAGGCAACGAAAAAAAAATGGCCAAGAAAAATCCACACTAGCTGGCCTGCAAATCGTTCTTTAAAATCTCATTCTGCTAGGTGCTTTGTTTTTTTCAGATTTATTTATGTGTGCATACAAGACTGGGGCTCAGGCCAGAGGTGGGGGGGGTGAGAGGATTCAGTAGACACAGAGCGGGGAGCAGAACAGGCGGATGGACTGGAACTCACTGCTGAGGGGGCGGCGGGGAGACAGGAGGGGTCAGCTGCGCCGTGTGGGTCACGCCCTGGCCGGGATCGAGCTCCTGCTGCAGTGGCTGCGGCGGCTTCACAGTGCTGAGACTTAACCCCTGCGCCCCCAGGGAGCCCTGCCAGCTGTTGAACGTGGGCTTGGGCACAGAGGCGCAGAGCTGTCTAGATAACACCGGCGACCCGCGGGGTGCAGGAGCCCTACCTTGTGGAGACCCCATCACCGTCGGTGCCATGACTGGGCTGCTTTTTATCTGAACACGCGTCCTGCCCCGAGACGCTTGCCGAGTCTCCTTTTTTCCCAGCTTCTCTCCCACTCTTCTCCTCGGAATCCAGCCTGTTTGTCTCCTCTTGGAGCAGTGCGCCTTCGCTGGCGTCCACAGCAGCTGGCTGGTCGTCCCCAGCGCTGCTCTGTCCTTCTCTGTTTGAAGCGTCTCTTCTGTCTGTGTTACCTCTGGGCTCTAGAACTTGTCTTGGACCAGAATCTTCTACCGTACCTTGGGGTCTTTCTGTTGGAAATGCAATAAAACCTCTCTCAACGAGAGGGGTGCTGGACTTCTGGACATTCTTCTTGTTGAGCTTGTGAACTTTTTCTTCCTCCGAGGAGGGTTGCTTCCTCTGGGAAGTTCTCTCTAAAATCCACCATGGCATACAAGAAGCTTTAATGGAGGAGTCATATGACCAGTACAATTTTGGTATCACCATTCACGTTTGTCATTATCAGCAGCTAGAAGCTTTTAAAAAGCAAAACCAATTGACTGACAATTGCATTCCCAAAGATTTTTCTAGTCTGTAACAAGTAGCATCCAGAGCCAATTGAATCAAGGTGTCTGAACCACGCTGCTCACAACACAGGACATTGCGAACACCTAACTTCCTCTAAAACGCATTAGCTTCACTAAGACTTTTCTTTAGCCATAAATAGCGAACCTCCTAAAGACGTTACCTGTGAGGGGTGAAGTCCTTGTGCCTTTGACACACACAGTTTCCTCCAGGCTGGGGTGGGGCCAGAGCTTCTCCTTAGCCTGTGGATACACAATTGAGTCACTGAGGTTACCTATGACAACAGGATAACGTCAGCCCTGACGACACTTGGAGCCGGGTAATCCCTGGGTGTAGGGGATTTCTCAAGTATTACAGAATGATGACCAGCAGCCCTGGCCTCACTCCACCAGATGCCAGTAATGCCCTCCAGCCCAGTTGTGACATCCAGAAACATCTCCAGAAATTACTCAGTGTTCCGTCAGGGAAAAATCAGCCCCGATTAAGAACCACTCTGTTCCATGATTCAAACAGAAAGCACACACACACACACATGCTCAAGAGGCGATAGTGAATGGGGACAGCCCAACTGCTGACACCTTGTATGGACGACAGTGTTTGAAAACAGATGAACTCGCCATTTTCAATGAAATTTTGTTAAAACTCGGCATGGTTTATGAAAGAAAACCCATCTCCGTGAATAGATTAAAGGATGAATGTGGTTCTCACCCTCGGCCTCGTTTATGTTGCCTTGATATGGTTCACATATAAATCAAACGAAAAATAGAGGGTTTATGGGAATGGAAACACAGAAAGTGGAGACTGAAGTTAGCTTTTATAAATGGAGCTTTTGCTTCTCTTAGCACAGATGGTCCTTTTCCTAAGCAGATAAACATTCTTCTCCAAGCCCTGGCTTCTCTGAATTAGCTGAGCAGACCCTTTTAAAATACCACAGAAAAGGTAAGCACAGTCCAGGCCTCCCACATTATCACAAATTCTACGACTGTGCACTGCAAATTAATGCAATGAATAGATAGCCGGAGGCACTGGCCTTTTTGTTTCCCTCTTGGAAGGAGTTGCCTTCAATTTGCCCGAAGGTGACTTGCAAGAAGGAAAGCCTAAGTGCCTGCAGAGATAGCAAGACAAATTGCAAATGTGCTTTTAAACAATCCACAGGGGAGTCCATTGGATTCAAAGCTTTTCCATTTTTCAGATAGGAACCCTGAAACACAGAGGCATGTTTAGTAAATCTGTGGAAAACCAAGATTAGCGGCTAAGCATTTGTAACTTTCTCTTTTAAGTGAAAGTGTGGGGGAACATTCAGCAGCGACCTCAGACTAAGGCAGTTGCGCCTTGATCTCTGCTCCCACAGTGCTCAACGTAAGTCACCCTGTAGCACTAACTGCACTTGCGTATGTATCACAAGTCAGCAAAAAGGTTGGTTCGTCCTTGAATCCCTGGCACCGAGCCCAGAAATTGGGATATAGTGAAGGGGTGGATGGTGGTGTTAATGGTGACAGTGATGGAGGTGATGATGGCGATGATGATGATGATAGTGGTGATGGTGATGATGATGATGATGATAGTGGTGGATAATATGTTCTAAGCACTGACCATGTACCGAATGCTTTTCTGAGTCTGCTGCGTAGTTAACTCAGTTTCATCTCATGACAGCTTTCTGGGATAGATGCTCTTAGCCTCATTTTAAAATGAAGTTGAGTGATTTCCCAGTTACATAGTTCAGAAAAGGTAGAAGCAAAATTCTAATTCAGTTTCCCATTCTAGTCTGTATAGGTCACTGTAGATAGGTCACAGTAAAAAATAAACAAACAAAAACTAAATAAATAAGGAAGATATTGGTACCAAGAAGTAAAACCAAGGTATATTGTTAACATTTCTGAATATCTGCCACATAGTCAACCTCACAGTAGATAAGAAAAATTAAGAAGGCAGGATAGAACGTGAAAACAAGTTAGTAAAAAAAATAAACTTAGTGGTCAAAAGGCTGGAATTAATGAAAGACAAGCAACAGAGAGAGACTAAATTGAAGTCTAATTTTGAAAACATATAACCAAGTCCAAATTAGTTAAGATAGTTGAACAAACTGTGTTTATTTTATAGCCTTGTCTTTCACTGCGTCTCTTTTGAAATGAAAACTTGTGGTGGACAGAAATTGTGCTCTGGATGGTCGGACCACACCAGTAAAAACACGTGGGCTTAATAAGAAAAACTTGCATCCATCAAGTTCAGTCTGTCGAAATACGCAGAATCGAGAACTTAGCTAGCTGTAAGTCTCGGAGGCTGCTGATATATCATCATTTGCTGCCACGGTCATCGGAGCGTCACAGCTAAGTGTCCGCACACTGTCCTGGTGGCCTTTGGGGACAGCGGTCCACAGGAGAAGTGTCCCTCGCAAGAAACAAGAAACCAGTCCCCAAACCAGGGAGCTTTTTTCCTTTGTCAACTGTATTTCCCGTACGTCTTCCCAGTAAAAGTAGGTGAGGTCTTTCTTCCTGGCCACGGACTGTTATTTTTTCATTTCCCTATGAAACACTGACATCTAGAGGAACTTGAACAAAGAGTTTCCAAAAATCAGAAGTTTCTTTCTCCTCCACTGTTTCTGAGCAGCAAATGCCAGGGGAGGAATTTTCACTTTGTCTTTCGAAATGATGCAAAAAGCAGTCGCTGAAACAGGAAGCCTCAGTCTATGGGCCTATCCTGTTGTCCAAAAATGAAAACATTTCCTAGTGACTGGAGGGCACAGGACTGGGCTGCATAGTGGAAAGAGCCTGAAAGCGTGTGCTTACCATCTGGTGATGGAGAAAGGGTGTCAGTTTACGATCCTCAGTTGGATTCACGCTGGTGACTAAGTGAGCAAGGGAGATCCCTCCCATCAGGCACACTCGTTTCACCATTCACTTTATAAACCGTGATCGCTCTCCTCCCTGGCTGCCTGAAGACCCAGCACCGTCACAACAGACACAGTAACTATCAGGACCACGATGTTCATGGCCCACCCACCGCTTCAGCAGAAATAAGTGGTCATTGAAGTCAACAGCACCCAAGACAGAAGCTTGGGAAAAACTGGCCAAAATGTGCAAGCGTCGCTCGGCTGTCACCTTTGTGTTTGGGTTGGGAACCCATCATGGAGGTGGCAACACACCTGGCTTCGGCGTGATTTACAATCCCCAGGCTGATGCGAAGAAGAATGAACCCAGACAGAGACATGGTCCAGAGGAAGAGAAAGACCTCAGGAAAACAGCGAAAGGGACACAAGAACAGGATAAGGAAGTCGGGGGCCCCCAGAGGCCTCCACTATCAGATTTCTAAAGTTTGTTTTTTCAGTTTCTTTGTTTCGTTTCTCTCTATTCCAGATAAGGGTGAAACCATCTGGTATTTATCCTTCTTGTTCTGACCTGTTTAATTTAACACAGTCCCTCTGGTTCCATCCTTGTTGCAAATGGCTAGGGCCCATCTTTTTCATAGCTGAGTAGTATTCCACTGTGCGTGCCTTCCTAATCCATGCATCTGTCCTTGGGCACTTAGGTTGTTTCCATAACTTACTATATACACACACATATACACATACATTATTATAAATGGTGCTGTCACGAACACATGAGTGTATCTGTTCCTTTGAATTAGTGTTTTTACATTACTTTGGTACATACCTAGGAGTAGAATTGCTGGGTCATATGGTAGATCTATGCTTAATATTGAGAATCTGCCATTCTGGCTTTTTTTTTTTTTAAGAATTTATCTTACTTATTTTTGCATAGGAGAACTGAGGTATAGGCCAGCAGTGTGGAGATAAGAGGATTCACCAGAGACAGAGTGGAGAGCAGACAGGTGGATCTACTGAAACACACTTCTGAGGGGAGCAGCGAGCTAAACAAGAGAGATGTGCTGCTGCATGCGGGTCAGTCCCTGGCAGGGGAGTGAGCTCAGGCCATTACAGTGGGTGGCACTGAGACTTAACTGCAGGCCACCAGGGAGGCCCCCTCCACCATACTGTTTTTCAAAGAAGCTGGACCTTTTACTTTACCACCAGTAGTGTACGTGGGCTCAAGATTCATAGCTCCAATGACTATTTTGACAACTTAAGCCAACTGTATGCACTGTATACACTTGTTTCAATTTTACTTATTGTCACAGAATCAAGACTGCATCAAGAAGGCAACATCGGTCCTGCATGTGCTGGCTGGGTTTCCGATGTCACTCACACCTGTACCCCAGCCCATCCCAGAGCTATTCCAAAACTCCACTCTTCATAAAAGTGTTGAAATAATTGAAAGGGGCAGGAATTCAGCTGGGCAACTTTTTCTTGTCCTTCTTTCATTCCCATTCAGTCAGTCTTAAGAAAATCCTAAACTAGGGCCCTCCCTGGTGGCGCAGCGGGTTAAAGCACAGCACTGAGAAGTGAAAGCCGCTTCCGCATGAGTTCGATCCCGGCCTGCCCCAGGGGTGACCACAGGGCGCGGCAGACCTCTCCTGACCCGCCCGCTGCTCCCCTCAGCAGCGTACTTCATCGATCTGCCTGTTCTGCTCCCCGCTCTGTCCCTGGTGAATCCTCTCACCCTCCGCATCTCTGGCCTGTACCCCAGTTCTGTATGAATGAATGAATAAATCTTAAAAAAAAAAAAGAAAGAAAGAAAGAAAATCCTAAACTAGACTTAACCATAAAGAACAAAGACCGCGATACTGGCTGCTCCTCCAGGCCCCAACAATGCTGTCACCATTTTCTAGGTTGTCCCACCATCCACTGACACGCCTGCCCCCTCAGCAGTGTGGACCCAGCTCTTCACTTCTGCTGCCTGGAGACAACACACAGGGCGGCCAGGAGTCCAGAAGTGCTTAATGAGCCCATGAGCAATAAAGGGAGACTGGCCTCCGCCTTGGGGACATTCCCTCATCACTGGAACATCAGACCGAGAGCCAAAACATGGAACATTCTATGTACCCTTCATGGGCGAATGGGAGAAGTTGGGGCTTAAGCTTTGATTCGGCTCCTCGTGAGAGAGAAGAAAATGAAACCCTAAAAGAACACAAAAAGGAGAATTCTCAGAAGGAATATTCAAGCTGTGTTTCATTGCCTGAGCACAGAAGACCATTCTGGACACTCCTGGTACATAAATCTATTTCTTCTCATCCTCAGCACACACTCAAATTCTCCGTGCATGCAACAAGAAAGCACCCTTAAGTCCCTGGCTGATGAGAGGAATGCTCGTAAATCATCACCTGTTTCACAGCGTGTGGGGTCTGG